AATTCTGGAAGAACTTCGTGGAGAATGTCAATGGGTTTATATTGTAGGCAGTCTATTAATTTTCTAGTGTCTATGTCACCACATTCAGTTGTATTTACTTTTGACTTTTATAGCAAATAAAAGTTAGGAATAATTTTTTTTCCCAGGTTTGTTTTTCTCTGTTCAAAGCAAGGTTAAAACACCAAAGAATTATACCAAAGTTTATAATAAGAAAATAAGATTGAAAGAGAGTGGAATTAACTTGCAAAGTTGTCAGAAATATTTTAAAGACTAGTTTTCCTGAATCTGTTACACAGAAATCTTCTTCCCAGTCTCCCATTTTCCAGCATAACTCTCTCCCCTTGCTTTCCTACAATCCCACCCAAGTTGCAGATAGTATACACATGAAATTTCAGGTTACAAAAATTCTTTGAAAGCAGTCCTGTACATTACAGGCTTTTTTTGGCTGAGCCATAGCAATGACTAAGCCATGGGAAAAGCCTCCATTCAGTTATACTGTAAAGGAAAATGTGGGTGGGGGAACTGGGTTTTCAGGGTCGAAGTCATTCAGCACTTGTGTGGCACTGTCGCAAAGAGGAAAGAGGAGGACTCAGCCCCGCGGGCCTGGGATGGGAGGTTTTTCAGATTTCCACTCTGCAGCCGTCCCTCTGGGGCCGGGCAGGCAATGGTACGAGAGAGAGTGTCAGTATTTGACTCAGCATGTTCCTAAGCCACAAAAGAGAAGTGACGTATATAAAAAGCATGTTGCTCGCTCTTATCTGATAAGAGGGATATCAAGGAGTTTTCTCCACTGCCTAGACATAAAGGAAGTTCTTCTTTGTCCTTATATTTCACTTTCTCTGTCTGCACACCTTTCTTCAAGCAATTATTGTGACCTTATAGCCTCTAACACAGAACTGAAGACTATACAGTTTTAGAGACATGATATGCAACCACCCACTACCACATTGCCAAATACCTATTGTTTAGCTTCCCACTCTAGTTACCCCACCAGCTTTAAAATCGATTTCCAATATAGTAGATTTAATTTAGGAATATCTCAGAAAAAGCCATCTCACCTCCCACAAATTTGGTGGAGCCTTGCCATGAATTATCCTGCTGGACCAGCAAATGAATCAAATCTGCAATATTTCTATGATGCTTCTGGTAGAACGTGACAATGCTTCACTTGCTACTTACCACCCAAACAGTCTCTGGTATTATTGCACAGTCATTCTTTCACACAGTAGGTTTTACTGTAAAGCATGCAGTGGTCTTCTTCGCAATCAACTTTTTTATCTCCTCTAATATCAGAAACTGCCTTTTGCAGTGCAGTGCTGTACAAGAAGGTTTGTTTTGTTAGGACCACAGACCTGCCAGCCCTCAGCAGGGCTCTCCCACTTGGACCCAAGTTTGCAGTATCATGAAGTAAACCTAAATGTGAAGAGATAACCACAGCCTAACATAACAGCTTTGCTTAAATATGAAGCTTGTGATGACTCCAACTCCTCAAAACAGTGTTCATCAGGCTTGAGCTTCATTCAGTGGATTTAACGCCGCATCTCTCTGCCATTATATTTCTATCTTTTCTAAAGCAACAAGATCTCAGGACTGTCCAGGCTAGTAACATGCTGAGCCTTAAGATTATTTCACTCTTTTGATCTTCAGATATTACCTCCAGAAGCAGCACCAGTTTAAGATCTGGTCACTGCATGAGATCCTAATTATTACAAGTTTATGAAAAAACAAAAGATGAAAAATAAAGTGGTTGACAGTTACACAGGTATGATTCTACTATGGCGTTGTAGGGTCTCGGTTATGTGTGGCCATACAGACCAGAATCAGTATCTGGAAATGACTCCCAGAGACACAGCTATATCCAGAATGCTGCTACACATACTCTCATCTAGTAAATCACCAAGGGCAAAGAAAAATGCAATGTTAAGTCTATAATAGGTGAAGCATTTCTAGTTGATAGGATAAAATATTAAAGCCGCTGTGTAACGTGACTGTACGGTGACAGAAGCCAATGCCCTCTATGTTGTCCCTTCAAGCGTTGCATTTCTGAAAATACAGTCATATTGGATGATTATCATAAACCGAATTTCTCGAGTGGTCCTGAAGTTGTCTGGTCAACGCACACAACCTGCAGTGGTACCTTTGCATGAATAACTGCCAACCACCTAATGAAGACAGAGCTAATAGAGTCATACTTCACACCCAAGTGGAAAGTTTCCAACCTATCACCCACATAAAGGTGCATAAAATAAACACTGACAGGGCTTGCACCATCACCTACAGCAGCTGGGCTCAAAGCAGCTTCTCAAAAGAATTCACAATTAAAACCCTGACAATAAAAAGCAGAAACACTTGTTCTCACCAGTCTGCTCCGTGACTATCAACACTTCCAACAGCATAGTCAAAAACTGGAGTGAGAATACAATGCACATTCACCCAAGTTACTAGTCAATAACCTACAGAGAAGGTGAAGGCTCAGTTATGGTAAAGAGAAGCAGAGCTAAGTACTCTCTTCATGTAAAGAATACCACTATCAGAAATAATCTCTCCATCCTCTCAGAAGCCTCACAGAGGTGTTGTACCATAGATAAATAAAAATTTTGCAACCCTTCACATGAATGGGATGATGGGGGGACAAGGAGAGAAAAATAAGTATTGGTCACCACATGGTTTCTCAAACAAAAGATGCTGCTAATTTCCATTAATAAACCTTAGCCATAAATTAACACAACTTCTTAATAAAACTTATCGAGATACCAGCTACTTCACAGTCCTGCTGCGCTGCTTATCTAAAATGATTTCAAGACATGTCCATCAAAAGAAACTAAAAAAAAAATGATCACACTACCTTTTCTTCAAGCAATTAAATTTCAGACTGTCACGTAAGAAAGTATACTTTTTCTTATTTATTTCAGTTTTCACTTTTCAGGATTTCTGTTCTATCAGGTGTGATTAGCTACCCCTTTCACCAGGAGAGATTTCATGTATGCATACAAGAGAGTGTGAGTTCGTTATGCCTACATATACACCTGTAAAATCTATTCCTTTAAGCTATTTTCTGAAAGATTAAAAATGGCTTCAACATAAACAGCATGCAGTAAATAATCATTGTACACAGAAAACAAACACACCTGAGTATGCCACACAGAGCTCTCATCAACTTAAATGCTCATTTTGAAATAAATGACGAGAAATAAGTCATCCAACTTGACTGCCCAGATTCACCCACCAGATAGAAACATACAGGTGCATTTTGTATGATGCCAGCATATGACACACACAAGCATTCTAGACACCAAACTGGTGTCTAAACACTGTATTTTGTAAAGCATCTCCAAAGCCATCTGAAATCTTCACACTTCAAGAGGCAAAGATTGAATTTGAAAGACACTTGAGCATCTTTTTATTCACCACAGTGAAGGTGTCCAAGTGACTTTAACTGCCCTCTACTAACTCCACTCAGGAACCTTGCTAACTATTTATTAACGATTTAGTGCCACTTAAAGTATTTTTTTTCCTCCTTGTGATGAAGTGTTAGGAACAGTGATTTTAAAATCAACTGATTCCTAGATCTCTCAGTCCAGTAAGTCCCTAGTGCCTGCAGAGCACCTTACTGAGAACAGTGCAGCTCACTCAGTGAGTGTGACAGAACGGCTTGGGCTGAAGGCAAGTAATATTGGGGG